GGCTGGAGGGGGTCAATGGAGGGAAAAGGGGGACATATGTAATACTTTCAACAATAAAGATATAAAAAAAAAAAAAGAAGGAGAAGGAGGAGGAGGAGAAGGAAAGAAGGAGAAGGAAGAGAAGGAGTAGGAAGAGGAGGAGGAGGAGGAAGAGGAGGAGGAGGAGGAGGAAAGAAGAAGGAGGAGGAGGAGGAGGGGGAGGAAGAGGAGGAGGAAGAAGGAAGAAGAAGAGGAAGAGGAGGAGGAAGAAGAAGAAGGAAGAAGAGGAAGAGGAAGAGGAAGAGGAAGAGGAAGAAGAAGAAGAAGAAGAAGAAGAAGAAGTCGTCGCCCAGGTCCTAGAGCCGCACAACTCAGAGGAGAAACCGCCTGCGCCTCGTCCTGCTGTTCAGCCCCTGGCAGCTTATGTGCAGCCCCTGAGCCTCACTGTCTTCACCTGCAGAATGCCCACGTCCCGCCGGCTGGAGGCTCCCCAGAAGCTGAGAGCCAGCGCCTGCCTGTCAGGGGGAGCGCCATGCCTGCCGGCGGCTCCGGTGTCACCGCCAGGCCAAGAGCCTGCACTCTGCTTCCCACTCTCAGAGTTCCTGCGGAGGACAAGGTCAGAGCCAGAAGGTCCTGCCAGGACAGGAAGACCCTCCCTGCCCCCTCGTGCTCCCTCCGGGGCCCCCGTGCCACGGCCCGGACACCGAGCCCCACGCCTGCTGGCACTGGCCGTGCCAGCCACCAGAAATTTTAAAAATCCACCTCCTTATCTGGGGGCAGGTGACATTCCCGGCCCCAGGAATGCTGGCAGGGTGCCCCCTCCCCCTCTCCCTCCCGGCTGGGAAGGAAGCTGGGAGGGGAGTGCCAAATCCCCCGGCCCCTCCCCCAAAACACCCACCACGGGCTCCGAGACCCTTCAGACCCCAACATTCCAGGAGGTTCAGAGCGTGCAGGCTGAGCCAGGGGCCTCCACCGCAGACCCCTCCCCGGGCAGGCCCATTCCCCCACCCGCGCCCACAGCGAGCTCTCCCCGGGGGCCCCCAGCGAGCCCCCAGGGAAACCCTCTCCCCACCAGCATTCTTCCTGAATCATTCCACCTGCCCGGTGTGGTGGTAAGAAATGCAAGCTCCCGGATCCAGGGATCCTGGGCTTGAACGAGTCCCTTGCCTGCCCTGTGCTTCAGTTTCTCCATCTGTGGAGTGGGAGTGTTACCCTCACTTACTTCAGGAGGAAGACTAAAGCAAGCTTCTAATGAAAAACCACTTTCAAAGCCCTAAAGCAGGGCTCTGACAGGATACACCTGCCCCACCACACACACACACACACACAGCACAGCCCGGGAGGGGGACAAGGCAGAGAGGGGTGGGGGGTGGGGGGTAAAAGGAGCTCCTGTTTACCCAATACTCTGCCCCTCTAGATGGGAACCCTGGAGGCCAGCAACACAGGGCCAGCAGGAAGCAGGCTCCCAGCAAGTGTTTGTTGAATGACTAGCTGACTGAATGGGTGGAAAAGATTATGTCACCACTGTGAGGGATGGGAAGAGATTAACCCAAGAACATATATACATATAGGCGTAGCCCTTGGCCACAGACAATGGTGTGGGGAGGGCCTGGGGCAGGGGTGGGGTGGAGGGGGGGGGGTAAGGGAAGGGGGATGGGGGCATCTGTAATACTCTCAACAATAAATAATAAAGAAATTAAATTAAATTAAAAGCTCTATCAGACAGGGCAGCTTCCCATCCTCTTCATGTCACGAAAGACAGTGTCCAGGCGAAACCGGTTTGGCTCAGTGGATAGAGTGTCGACCTGCGGACTGAAGGGTCCCAGGTTCAATTCCGGTCAAGGGCATGTACCTTGGTTGCAGGCACATCCCTAGTGGGAGGTGTGCAGGAGGCAGCTGGTCGATGATTCTCGCTCATCAATGTTTCTAACTCTCTATCCCTCTCTCTTCCTCTCTGTGAAAAATCAATAAAACATATTTTTTTAAAGAGAAAGAAAGACAGTGTCCAGCATCCCCCACCTGGCCAGCCTGCAGGGTGTAAGCTCCCGGGAGGCCGGGCGGGAGTGAGGGTCAGGCTTCGGGAGGGCCACGGAAACAAACTTGGGAACGTGAACGCGGCGGGGAGAGAGGAAGCGGCGCTGCGGGAGGGACGGGCAGTGGAGGCCCCCTCCCCGCCCAGCCGGGCCGTCTAGGGGCGGCGGGACCTAGCCGAGCCTGGCGGCGGGAACAATGCCGGGCAGGTGCCGGCCGAGCGGCGTGAAAGGCCCGGCCCGGTGTCATTGTCAGCGCTCAGCCAAGTGCAGAAAAGCAATTTACTGGTCACGCCGCTTGCTCCCCTCGGAAATTTTTAAAATTCTTCCGATTGGAGCTATCCGCGGTGTCCCAGGTCGAGCGGAGAAGGGGTTTTATTAAATCTCGGCTTCCCACTTCCTGGGGCGGCCGGCGGGAAGGCGGGGCTCGCCCCGTCTGGCATTGACTGTGCTCAGGGAATCGTGGCTGGGGCGGGCGGGGGCTGATGGATGGGCAGAGGGGAGGAGCCCCAAAACTTCACTGCTCCGGTCCCCCAACACAGGGCGGTGGGGGGAAGGGCACGGTGTGCTCCTGGGCGGATGCGGCTTTACAATACTGCTTGCACACCAATCAGGGCCACCCCGTTCACAAATGAGGGAGCCAAGGCTCACGGGGGTCGGCAGATCGGGAAAGACAGGGTTGCACAGCCCTTCCCCTGAGCAGGAACCGGGCCCTGCTCACTGGGGGACCCCCGTGCCCCACTAAGGCTCACCCTGTGCAGGAAGCAGTGCACTGCAGGAGTCTGCCCGGCATCCCTCCTAGGGGGCAGGCTCAGACTCCCACACTAACACAGGGTCCCCCCCCACCCTGCCTCTCTCTCACGGCCACTCTACCTTTGTCCCCGGAACATGAGTGGGACATGAGCCTGCCAGCCTCCTGTGCCTTTGGAAACCTGTGGGGAGCTGGGAACCCGAGCCCAGACACAAGCACATGTGGACACGGTTTGGGCGCAGTGTTTGGGGGGGCCATTCCGCCCCATCCTGAGACGCTCTCAGGGGGAAGGGGTTAACAGCATCAGTCCTGCGGCAGTCTGAATGGGGGAAGGCTGCAGAGGAGCGGGGAGGCGGGAGAGGGGGCTCCCTCACCTGCTGGAAGTCCTAACCCAGATGGACGGAACCCAGACAGACCACCCAGCTCTTCCCCGGGAGGCCGCTCTCGCTCTGGCCAAGGAGGTGGAGGTGGGATGCAGGGGCCAGGTTCCCTCCCTCACACTCCCCCAGAGAACACAAAGACCACACAGCAACCCCGCCCGGGCCCCACGTCCAGGGTGGAGAGCATCGGGAAGCAGGGGCAGCAGAGTCCGCAGCCTTCTCTCTGCACTGCCCGGCTCCGGGGAAAGCTCCTGCCCGGTCAGACAAGCAGATCGGCCAGCGTGACCAGAGGGCCTGCCCTCTGCGTAGGGACTCAGCTGCAAACCAGGCAGGCCATGCCTGGCACTGGTCTCTCTCTCCGACACCAGCCATCCCCCCACCCCCGCCACCACACAGGGTCACATCTGCTTTGGCAAACAGCCAGTCTTAAGTTACTGACTCCAGTTGTATTGATTCAAGGAGTCACTGGGGACCCCCCAGCCTGGCCAACAGGAGGAAAGAACCCATCAGTCCATCCATCCATCCATCCATCTATCCATCTATCCGTCCATCCTTCCTTCCAGGCCCCAGCCCCAGCAAGCTGCCCCCAGCTCAATGTCCATCCCGGTGGTAACAATCCTCCCCCAGGAGTGGGAAGGAGAGAGGCAGACCCAGCACCAAGTACCGTGCCAGAGGCGGCTGAGTGTCCACGGGCACCGGCACACCGCATGCCCGGTGCTGGGACCCTGAGCACCACCCGATCCCTGGCTCAAGGCCCCCTCAGCACCGCTGGAACCCAGCAGCCTGAAGCCAGAGCATCCTCTCTAACCTTGGGAGGACACCTGCCCTCCACCAGAGGTGGACGGGAAGGCAATCTCTCCTGGCCCGGGGCCAGCTCCTCCCGGGGCCCCTCCCCTGCAGCCTCGGTGGGTGGGGGGGCGAGGGCAGCTGGCACTTCCTATTCCCTTTCCCTTTGCACGCCCCCCCCCCCTACCCCGTGCTGAGGTAGCCCTGGTCTGGTTCTAATCGGGACTGAAGTCGGCTCCCTCTTCCCCTCTCCTCTCCACCGCCCCCCCCCCCCCTCCTTCATTTCCACGGCTTTGGAAGCCGGAGTGTTCCAACTGTCTGCGTGCCAAGACCTTCCCGAGTCTGAAAGCTGCTGAAGTAACAGATCAGATTTTAGCAAGTGCTTTCCAGGCCGCGCGCCAAGCTCTCTTCTGATTCACTGGGAGCGAGCGGGGAGCGAGCGGGGAGCAGCGGGGAGCCAGGCGGGGAGCCGGCCGGGGCTGCACCACCGCGGGCGGGCGAGGGTGTGCGGGGCGCGGGCGGCCTCGCGGAGACACCCCCCTCGGCCCAGGCGCCCTGCTCTGCTCCCCCTCGGACCCGTCTCCCCGCGTCCCCGCGCCCCTGCGTCCGTCCGTCCGTCCGTCCGTCTGCCCCAGGGCTGCACATGCCTTGGAAACCACAGAGTCATTTACAACTGAAGCTAATTCTCCCCGGACTCGACATCCACTCGGCGGCTGAAAGGAGCCTGTCTGTCTGTCTGTTTGTTTGTTTGTTTGTTTGTTTGGAAGAGCGATCGGGGATGTGGAGGGACGGAGGGCAGAGACAATCCCCGAGTCCCAAGTCCTCCCCGCCGAGGCTGCGGGCGGGGGGCTCGGGGCAGCCCAAGCCGCGGCTCGCTCGGCCCGCGGGCTCCGGGCTCTCCTCCCGGCACAGGCCGGCGCCCCGGAGCGGAGCCCCCCGCCCCCGCCGGCCCCCCGCCGCCGCCGCCGGCGCAGGGCGCGCCCGGGAACAGGTGCACCGGGCCCGGCGCCCGGGAGGGTGGGGCGCGGGGCGGGGGCGGGGGGAGGTCAGAGCCGGGGCCCCACGTACCTGGACCTGGAAGCACAGCAGCAGGACGTGTAAACACCTGCGGGGGAGACAGGAGAGCGGTCAGCGGGCGGCGGGGAGGGGGCGCGCGGACGGGCGGAGACCCGGCCGGGAAGGTCAGACGGGAGCGCGGACAGACGGAGCCGGGGCCCCCAGACCCACCACCCGGGCGGACGGGCAGCCCCCCGGGCGCGGGCGCTTACAGGCAAGTGCAGGCGGAGGGCGCTGGATACATCGCTGGGCGGGGGGCAGGCGGCGGCTCCTAGCCCAGCCTGCACATGTCCGCTCCGCGCGGCCGGGACCGGGCGCCTCCGCCGGCGCCGCCGCCGCCGCCGCTGCCGCTGCTGCTGCTCCCCGCGGGCCGGTGGCTGCTGCTGCGGGCTCTGCTGCTCCGGGGCGCCCCGCGGCGCGCCCTGCGGCATCAGCGCCCCGCGCGGCTCCTCCCGGGCGCGGCGCCCTGCGGGCCGGCGCGGGGGCTGCGGGGCGGCCGCAGCGGGCGGGCGGCGCCCTCCGGGCCGGTGCGGGGAAGCTCGCTCGCTGCCGGCCGGCCGTCCGTCCGGGCGTCCGCGGGGAGCTGCTGGCCGCGCGGGTCACGCCGGGGACAGCATGCGCGGCGGCGGGGCTGGAGGCTGGGCGCGCTGGCTGGCCGGGGCGCGGGGCTGCGCGGGCCAGGGGTCAGCGCTCCGGGGCTGGAGCGCGCTGCGGCGGCTGCGGCTGCTGCACGCCCGCGTCACGGCCGCTCCGTCTGGGCGCCCGCCGGCTCATGTCTCCTCCTCCTCCTCCGCGTCTCCCCGGCCGTGCGCATCGCCGCCTCCCACCGCTGGCGGCGGCCGAGGCGTTTTCTACGCGCGGGCGGGCGGCGAGGGGGCGGGGGGGCCGGGGGCGGGCCCGGGCCGGCACAATGAGGATGCTCGGGGCCCGGGGCTCCCCCCTCGGGGCGCGGCCGGACGGGCGCTCTCAGCTCGCCTGGGTGCGCCGCGCCCACATCAAAGGCGGCCCAGCCTGCCTGCCTGCGAGCCTGCCTGCCTGCCTGCCTGCCCGCCGCGGCCTCTCTCCGCCGCCTCCTCCTCCTCCTCCTCCTGGCGGCCCCGGCGGGAGGGAGGGAGGCGCTCAGGCTCTCGGCGATGGGACCGGCAGCTCCAAAGGGGCCGAGCCTGGGAGCCTGGGGCTGAGGAGCCTTAGGAGCCGTCGGAGCTCCGCGCCAGCGAGCAGTGACCCGCGCCGCGGCGCCAAGGGTGCCCGGATCGGGCAGGCAGCGGTTCCGTTATCTGCGGGACGTCCTCGCTCGCCCACACTCCCTCCCCATTCTCACCCCCGCTAGCGCTTGCGGTGGGGAGCGAGGAGGGGGGCGGGCCAGGCCCAGCCCCTGGGGCGGCTCCTTGTAAGAGGGGTCACTTCCACCCGCCCTGTGAGTCCGTCCACGCAGGATGGTGGCGTGTCCCAGCTGCCCTCTCGGTCACCTGGCCACGCTAAATGACCCCCTTCCGCGCCCTCCTTGCTGCATTCGATACAAACAAGTGCAGAAATCCTTGGGAGGGGGAGGGGAGGGGGAGGGGTCTCCGGGTGTCTCTCCCCCTCGGGGCTCGCTCGCAGCCGGGTTCTGGATCCCAGCAGGGCTCCCCCGTAGGCGAGCCAGCTTTGGAAACGCAGGACTGCCATCTAGAGGCTCAGAGGCTTCACTGCAACCCCAGCCCGGGCTGGCTTGGCAGCGGACCAGCAGGAGCCAGCAGGACTCTGGTCAGCGACCACTCTAGGCCCAACTCTGGTGACCTGGCTGGAGACTGGCTTCCCTTTGCGTGCTCAGCAGTTTGACTCCTTTAACCAGGACCCACTCTGAGGACATCTCTTCTCGCCGCCTCTGCCCCTTCGGAGGCATCCCTCCTCTCCTCCCACCAACCTCAAACGATGTTCTTGTCACCTGCCACTGCTGGACTGGGGAGCCCCCCACAGCAAGTCTCTGCCTTGGACACTAAGGGGAGAAGGTCATAGTGGAAAAGATACTGAACAAGCCCAAAACACAAAACCCAGGAATCCGAATTACTGGGTGTCACGGGATGTTCCCATTTCACTGGAGTGTAAACTGAAGCAGGTGCATGGAACCCTACTATTCCCTAGTCATGGAGTATGAAATTGTCCAAAATACCTGGCCTCTCTGCAAGCCTGATAGGCTCCCTTTCGGAGCCGAGGCTGTCTTAAACAGATCGCCTGTCTCAGCACTGGACACAAGTGCAGACAACCTTTTCAAAACTAGCTGCCAAGCGGTGGGAAAAGTTCCTGTGTGAAGTGCTGGGCTGAATGCACTTAGACATTCGCATTGCCAGAGCTGTAAGTCCCGGGTCCTAGAGAAAAATGAACCTACCCCAAGATAGGTGCAGTGGCCAGATGCCACAGACATGAACAGAGATGTCGTGCAGGGCCCGAGCTTGCGTTTATACGAAGAACTCTGACACCAGAGGTAATTTTGATCAAGTGAGGTGTTTGGAGTATCTCCTGGCTAAGAATCTTCCGAGTTTTCTACCCTGTTCACTATTACTTTTGGATGGCATAGGTCTCTGTGGTCTACCTAAAATGCTTGCCATTTTTTTCAAGGCTCAGATAAAGCATATTTGTCCATCTCACAAATAAGATGTCACTCAAATACGATGGACCAAAGAGTTAAGAGAACAGTTTTGAGTAAGGGTATAAACTCAAGTCAGAGGTCCTGGACAGGAGTATTGCTTCTAACATTTACTAATAAACTACAGGTCTGACCGCTTCCTACCAACAAACCATGGATAACAGTTACAATGCAGTTGTGTTGCTGAATGAAGCCAGACACACATGAAGGCTCCAGGAGATTTTAACTTTTATTCATTTGCTAATTACGGGTTTCAGGTTATTTTCACATGAAGCTGGGAGGTGTTCAACCTGACTCCGAATCCAGTCATTTCATATAGTTTCCACATAACATACATGAATCTTAAATGTTCTTCCCATCTGAATTTGGCGTCTTCGTATAGCATTTGAGATGTGCCACTATTTGTCACTTCTCATCAATTTAATCACCACCTATTGAGGCCCTGTGGAGTGGGTCCTGGGTGAAGGAGGCAAATAAGCAGAGCTGACCGCGCAAAGGAATATTCCATGCAAAAGATGTCAGGTGCCTGCAAGCAGGAAAAGGCTGGGTGACAGGCAGGGTTGGCCAGAGGGGAAGAAGCGGCAGGTGAGGGTGAGAACAGGCAATGCTTGGTCATCCCTTGCGAAGGCCTTTTAGGCCTTTTTTCCTAAAAGGTACTATTGACCTAAAACTTTTAAATGCGTGTTTCAAGTATACTTGGAGCCTAACAAATGCTTAGTTATGCAAACACCTTTCCAGGTAACCTCCTCTCACCCATCACTAGCCCCAAGTTACCACTAATCTATTGGCTCTAGATTCTAGTTTCACATAAATGGAACCATCTATTTTGTGCTTGTGTCCAGCTCCTTTTGCTCAGCATGTTTTTGAGACTCATCCTTGTCTGTTGTTGCTTTTATCTATAGATGTTCCTTTTTACTGCCAACAGTGTGGATATCCCAGTTTGACCATCTATCAAAGGTTAAACTCATTTTTAGAAACTGCAGGTGAACTGACAGTGGCAGCAGTGCGAGGCTGCTAGTCCAGGCCACAGTTCTTGTTGGGATTAGGTGGCCGGGCTAGTCCCTGCTGGAACCATCAGACCTGCATTCCACCCCCAGCTCTAGGCTAGTGAACTCTCCATTTTCTGAGATTCACATCTCACATCTGCAAAATCCCTGGTTGCCTTAAGGGAAATTGAAAAGGTATGTTAACTGCTAACCCCTAGCCCTGTAAATGTCAGCACCTCAGGGTGTTTTGCTGATTGACTAATGCGCCAAACACTTGAATAATCAGTATATATCCAAACTAGAGGCCCGGTGCATGACATTCATGCAGTATGTGGAGGGTGTCCCTCAGCTCAGCTTGTGCCCTCTTGGTCTGGGACCTCTAAAGGGATGTCCAACTGCCAGTATAGGCCTGCTCCCCCGAGGGGACTCCCGCCATCACCATGCTGGCCAGCTGTGAGCTGGCTTCTGAGCACTCCCCCTGTGGGAAGTGCACTATTAGGGGGCAGCACCTGCATTGAGCATCTGCCCCCTGGTGGTCAGTGTGAGATACAACTAGCCATTCTGCCATTCAGACCATTTGCATATTAGGGATTTATTATATAGGGTGTTTAGATCCTTCCTATCTGGTTTTCAAGTGAAAGTAAACAGCATCTCAAACTATTTCAGCCTCTCTCCAATGATAAAACTCTTAAGTGTCAGATTATCTGCAGAATACAAACTTTTTGAACCAAGATGGGAGAACCTTCAGCCCAAGAACATGAGACAAAACTCAGCCTTCCAGTCTTCAACAGAATCAAGCGGTTTAATAAGAGAAGTACACACTTAGCAGCGGAGGCTCTAAAATGTTCTCAAAACCACCTCTTGAAGCTTTGATAGCACTAAAACAAGACCCCGACCGCCAAGTTTGAGTCAGGGAGCAACTGGCTCTTTGGTGAGAAATGTTTGGAAGATAGCATTTTCAGAAATAAGTTTAATCCTTTTCTCTCAATGGCCCACACCACTATCTTTGATGATTAAGCTCAGTATTTGCAACCCTCAGAACATTTTTGCCCTTGAATAAAAGCCCCACACCCTTGGCAATGTTTATCTCCTTTCATTGAGCTAGTAGTTGTCCAAACCACTCCCTTCTGCAAGCTTTGTGACATACCACTATAAACCTCCACCCATCAGGACCCATCATTTGCTCAATCCTGTTCAGACAGTCCAATCTGCTCTCCCCAAATGGCCTTACTAACCGATTTTGTTCTTTGGAGAGGCTGAAGGTAACAGCCCTGGAGTTCTCACCATGACCTAACCTTACACCAAATGAAGCTTCCGGTAGTCAGCCACTAAGTGCATCTCTGCCTCTGCTAAGCTAACCAACAAGCAGTGCTCTCACCACTGTGGTCTCTAAATACCAGTTTTCTTAAGAACCAAAGCTCCTTGAAGAAATGGATCAATCCAGGTCTGAGAAAATTAAGATGCTTGACATCAAAGACACTTTGTGGGGGGGGATTCCATTGCACAAGATAAAATACACTGGACTGAAACACAAATACCAAAAGTTTGATTTCAGGATACTTAACTCACTGGATACTCTGAGGTTCTAGGACAAGAATCCATCATTCTGAAAATTGGCAAAATAAAACAGCAAGAATATTTTCAGTTAGGTACAAATGGAGGCAATAAAATGGGGACTTTAAAGAAAATGCCTGCAGGATAACGAATGGTATTTTGCTAAGGCTAAATCGTTTAAAAAAATTCATGTTGACTGACTTATGGGACGCATAGTTGATTCAAGCAGCAAGTACTTTAAAAAGGCAAACTGCAGACCCACCTAAAGCCAAGTAGTATTCCTAATGAAGGAACTATAAATCCCCAATTTGCTTAACAAACCAGCTTCTCTTAAAGCTTCCTCCACTACTGATCCGCATTTTCTCCAGGAAACACAGGAAATTTGTTTTTTTCCTTATTGGTCTTAGGAAACTTAAACTTTTTCCATAATAGGTACCTTAATATTTGTCAATTAAAACTACATTGACCCATAACGAGATAAGAACATTAAAAAAAATAGGACCTGCCAAAACCGGTTTGGCTCAGTGGTAGAGCGTCTAACTGAAAGGTCCCGGGTTCGATTCGGGTCAAGGGCATGTACCTTGGTTGCAGGCACATCCCCAGTTGGGGGGGTGCAAGAGGCAGCTGATCCATGATTCTCTCTCATCAATGTTTCTCTCTATTCCTCTCTCTTCCTCTCTGTAAAAAATCAATAAAATATATTTAAAAAAATAAAAATAAAAATAAAAAACTACATTGACCCAAGTATGGCCAATGCCACATTGCCAGTCTGCACTGTGCAAAGTCAAGTCCATTTTTTAAAAAGGTATCTTTTCGAGCAGCGTTTTTCAACCGCTGTTCCGCGACACACTAGTGTGCCGCGAGATGTTGCCGTAGGTGCAGACAAGAATTTTATAATTTTTCACTATTTTGTTTACTTAATATTTCATAATAATTATAAAATAAAAATAAATAAAAATAAAAAATAAAAAGGTATTTTCTAAGTTAGAGCCCAGGAGTTCCCTTTTCAGATCACTGCCATTCTTAGTTGGCTAACATCTAATAACTAGCACTCTTAATGACTGCTGGGGCACAGGAATCTCTTTATTTCTAAATAAATAAGCCCTACCTGGAATGTTCTTCAAAAGTGGATCTGATTAGTTCTTTAAAATTAGCATAAACCACCGGTACAACCCATCGCTTCCCCTCAGAATGGTGAAGTCCCTTTGGATTTCCCATTTAAAAGTGCCCATCAGCCAAACCAAAGGAAAGGTTTAACTTCTACACAAAGCACTACAACTTCCAGACGTACTTTTGGTTAAGACATTATACTACTACTAGTACACTTTCTACTTTCTGAACATGTTAAGTAATTAATACTAGCAATTACCTACGATACTCCAATTAAACACAAAGACAGACACTATTTGGGGAAGGAACTCAGCTTTAACACAGTAACCTTTCTAATTAATGTGCAGGTTGCTTTTAGTGTTTTACTTGGGATTGTCTTATCAATTTAAAGTAGATGATCTTTTAAACTTGGAAGTATATAAATGTCTTTTAAAAGACAGGAACTTCCCAGTGATGCAGTTTACCTTCTCCTAATGCACTCCCGTTAAAATAAAGGTAGAGGGAAGTTGTAAGGACAGACTGTGCTGGAGAGAATGGATCAATGAAGAAAACTACAACCTAAAGTAAATGAACTGACAGCTGGAACTGGGACTCAACAGCAAAGTACTGCACCAATCTTCCCCCCACCCTTATCTAAGCCAAGGCTCCCTGGAAAATCATCCCGATTAAAAGGCTCATGTCTGTAGACCACATCAAAATGTACCTGGAATTGGATAGGCTGATGCCACCCTCCTAATCAAAGATAAACAGGCTGAGGGAGGCAAAAGAGAAATGGGTAAATAGTGCATGGAATAGGAGAAGTTTCTTTAGACTTTAGCACACAGCAACACAAATTTGAAGACATTAAATAAAGTCTCTCTCCTGAAGTTTAAACAAGAATCAATCAGAAGGCCTACAAATGAATGAGTGAAGTAGGAGGCTGAAATCTCCCAAGAAAATAATCCAGAATTGGAGCCTCTGGAGAACAGACTCAGTCCAGCCAAGGCCCAGAACAAGATTATAAAACACATAAAATCTCAGAACCTGCAATAAAAATCTTAATTAGCACACATACACCCCACTCCTGGTCACGTGCAAAGAATACATGAAGCCCTAGCTGGTTTGGCTGTGAATAGAGCTTTGGCATGCAGTCTGAAGGGTCGTAAGTTTGATGCCAATCCAATCCCTGGGGGGCTGGGATGTGTGTGTATGTTGGGGGGAGGGGAAGTACAGCTGAGAATGTAGTTCATTTTCTGTTCTGCTTGGACCATTTGGAAACACATTAGCATGGTTACAATTAACTATTATCAGGAGACAAGAAGGTATAAGCACTAAATACAACAAAAAGCAGGTTGGTTAGCTGTGAGAAGCATTACTACTTAAGAGGTATAGAGCAGAGACTATTTCTCATGAGATTTTAGGATACTGTTTGACACTTAACTGTGTACATTTCTGATAAAGCATATAGAGAATAAATTAAATAGACAGTGCTACTTTATTAAAATACTGAGTTTTATTTCACATGTATATTTTTGTCTCCCCACCATTCCCATTTGTCTGACCACTACTACTACTATGTCCTATCATAACATTCCATACATACTTAAAACCAAGCAAAGGGTGGAGTTCCATCTTTAAAAACTAAACAGGCATTTTGGACAACACATTCTTGGCAATGGAACCTGGACAACATTTATCAGACACGGTAGGGAAAGTTCTCACTCTGCATTATAAAAAGGACAGCCAGATATCAACTGTTACAGAAATGAAATAAGACGGAAAATTTTAACAAACTGTTTAAACTATTTTCTTAAAGAGACTTCCTCCACTGCCAGAGATCTTGAATAGCCTGGAAAAAAAAAAAAGGAAATGTGGTTAAAGAACCACAGCACTTCACAGACAACCAATAAATTAAACCATGTCTCTTTGTACAGTTCAACATACCTATTTTTCATTCTACCACCAGAAAGGCTCACTCTAGATAATTAAGATTTTTTTTAATTTATACAAGTATCACTGTCAATTTCCTACAGATGATTTCTACAGGGTGGGGCAAGAGTAGGCTTACAGTTGTGAATATGCAAAACACAGGATTCTTGTTTTTACTGTAAATTTACATTTGTCCCACCCCATACTTTTTCTCATGCTAGTAATTCAGCAACAGCCATGTAAAAATAAAATTCTTCAAGTGATAAAAACCCATTTCATATGAGTCATGATAAGTACAGTATAATCTACTTCCAAGATGGCAGTTCTTTTTCCTATTCATAAACAATGTTCTCTTTTTAAAGAGCAGTCTTGATGGGGTGTTGTTTTTTTTAGCTCTTAATTCAAGAGTTTCTGCAGAAATTTGCTATTTCTCAAAGTCCATCTGGAAGGGATTTTACTAGCCAAATTCTCACAAGCAACACTTTTTCCTAAGAAAAACTGCATAAGCAATGGGAAAATTTTTATGGTGACTCCTCGCTTCTGTAGCTATGCCATAAAAAACGTGAGACAGTTAGTTTTGATTATCTGTAGTAGTAAACTGAGCTATTACACTCTACTATTGTAGGAATTTCATCTTGGTACTTTTCAGAAAATAGTGAAGATACTTGGGAATCAGAAGATATTGCTGTAAGCAGGGAATTCAGTCATTTCAGCTCAAGACTGATGTTATACTGTATGGAAGGCCATTGCACCTTTATTACTTTTGCCTTCACCTGAATTTTTCTTGATCAAAAATTTCAGTTTGCCACTTTCCTTGGTTCTGGTTACCTGTCAGTACATGCTGGTTTCTGACTTTCCATCATTTTCAACATAACAACCGCATACAGCAGTTTTCAAAATGTTTAATAAGCGTCAACTATTCAGAAAACTTGAAGAATTTTGAAGTTCAAATACATTCTCTCTCTCTCACACACACACACACACCAGAGTAACAACCAAAATAAAAAGGTGAACTTGATCATCTCATGGCCACCAACTCAATCAAAGCTGAACTCACAATAACCCAACCATAAAGTACTGAACCACTGAAAGGGTTTCAAATCTGAGAAAAATGGTGCCACCATTTTTGTAATTTAAATACCAAATATTATGGCAGAAAAATAGCTCTGACAAATTCTTTATTAAAAAAGCTAAAAAGACTTAGGGAGCCCTGACAGAATTGAACTACAGGCTATGTCTGCTATATGCACAATGCCCAGCAACCTAAGTAACTACTTTTACATTTTCCTTTATAACCTAAGAGTCACTGTGAACAAGACAAAAATTAATACCTGGTTTTCATTGATAAATACCTTTACTTGTTAGGAACAGAAAGTCTACATTGACTCAAGCTACAATATTGAGCATTAACTACAATTTGGTTTCTTGCTGCCAGGTTTTACACCTTAGGTTCATTTCAGCAAAATGTGCTTCCCATAAGATCTATGGAGAAATGGTTTCCCACCGCCAACTCAGGAAAGCGAAAGGCCAGACTGCCCAAGCAGCCAAGTGGAGCAGCAAGGAAAACCACAGCTCAGGTCTTAGCCAACTTAGTACCAACAGTAAAACTGAGCTCAGTAACAAAGAGGTAATTTACCAACTATATAATAAAAGTTGGGGAAAATATACTAAAAGTTATCTTCTCAGTCTCTGCCAACTAAATTCTTAAAGCATTTCCATGTATTCAATCTAAAGTAATGTCTGTGGTTAGAAATCTTTTAAAAGAAGCCAACACTTAAAGAGACTAAAGAATCATAATAAATCACAATAAAATATTGGATTAGGTCATGTCTTGAGAAAAGTTACCTCCAAGTCAGTCATCCGGAAGCAATTCTTCACGTAATTAATGAACTTGGCTTCCACTTTGGGAAGAGAACCGCCCTATTGAGACAAAAGCAGTACTAAGGGTGAGTATATAAGCACTATTTGTAAGTTAAGAAATTCCTCATATTTGCATGCTATTTTTACATGGATCATCAGTTCATGCCTTATCCCTTCAATTCTTTAAAACCATTGAATACATCTGGGTCTTTCAGGCCCAGAAAGACCAACTAATTCTTAGGACCTATGTCTTTCATACCACTCCCATACTGACCGGCTTTGTCAGTGTCAAATTCCCCCCCCCCCCATCTTTGAAGTAAATACCAAGTACAAGCCATGCTTTAGATTCTTTAAGCAATTAAATGTCAACTTGGCTGCCTGCTCTATAACCTAACAATTGTTTGATCACCACCCTCTTCCACCCAGAACCAAATACAAAACAAAGCAAATACACACCCCTTTTCAGTACCATATGCACACGTCACCAAAACTATTAATAGATCACTTTAATACGTACGAAGAACCTAGGCCCAGCACAGTACTAACCCGAGTCAATTCAGGGAGCATATGAATGGGGGGGAAATTAACGTGACATTTCATTCACCTCAAACTAAAGTTTAGCATTTTCTTCAATTATAAGCATAAAAAAAAAAAGCCCTAATAGTGTTAGCACCGAATTATTTTCTTAAGAATTTCTATTATGAAATGTTTATCACTACTTTGGATTTAATGTGCAACTAAGTATATCACTTATTTCCTCTTTTGGTAATTTTTATTTCCCCCAGTAACTTAAATCCTTTTATGCATTTTAAAAAGGTAAGGTGACTTCAGGAATGCCAAAGGAACCATGGCATGAAGTAGGTTAGGGATCAGGTATGGTACTATCACCTAGAAAGTAATTTCTGTTTTTAAATTATTGTCACATACGTTCTTCATTCATTCATTCAAATATTTATTGAGCAGCTAGGGAGATACAAAGGTGTTTAAAACATGGTCAAAGAGGCGAGATAAATGAACAAGTCAAGAAAAGTTCACTGAATCACAGCAAAAGAAAGGTGCATTAGGAGACTAAGTGAGATTGCTTCCAGCCTGGAAGGGGACATGGGTGAGTGATAAACCAGGAAAGGGCATGAGATTAAAATAGAAGACTTCAGTCTGGATTGTTGATGATACTCAGTATGGACTATATTTGTCTCTCCTTTTCCTCTTTCCCCATCTTTGGGCTTAATTTACCAGTAGTGCCCAGGATTGTTCAATGTGCCTGCAATTAAACCAAGGAGATAGGACCATATTAAAATGCGGGGGAGGGGTATCTAAAAGGTTATTTTAGCACTGTATGCAAGGGATAAATAAAGCAGGAAGGCAAAAAGGTTTACAGTAGTACAAAAGCAAAATCTAGAGGTACATTCAGGCCCTAAAATTTTATTTTTCCAATCGACTTGACTCATCACTGCACAAGGAAGCCTACTAAAACACACAGACCTAGGCACACAGGAAAACGGGGGGAAAGAAGTCAGCAACTTTCCCTCACCACCACATTTACTCTCAAAAACTGGGGTCTAAGCAACAATTTATAAATTAACACTTTCCTCCAATGTGTTTCAAGGTATTTGAATCAATTATCCCATACTCTTCAAGTCCAGAGTTCACGGAAATTTAGTTTAGTGCCCTGGTTAAGTAGTAGAATGAGTCAATCCTCTTCTCACATTTCCACTATTTAAGACAAAAGGAAACTAAAAACCTATTATAGTCAATAAAAAACTCAAGATATAAATCTATCAACTGGTGACACCTTGGTATAAAAGGAATGACTCAATTTGTTGGAAAATGTTTTTTACTAGTCAATCTTGAGTACCGGTATTTTTTTTTTTTCACTACAACACTAGCAGCCAAAGACTGTCTACTTTTCCAGCCGCTTCATAAAAATTAAGACTCATGCGCCCTCTGCTGGCTCTACAGCATCTTACAACCAGAAGATCAGTTAAAGGGAAGTGTTTTTGTTGATCTTATTTTAACATCTAGGATCAGAATGCATCTTAAACCAACTTACTTATATTTTTTATAATGAAAAAAATAAAGCACATGTAACTTCAAACATGCAAAAAAAAATTACCAGAGATAAATGATTGTAACTAATAATCCATTTCTAAAAAACTTACATATCACGATCAAGTAACAGATGTATTAAGGACAGTGCTGTCCCAAACCACCAAAAAAGATAATTTGAGTGAATGGTAAATAAACCTATCAGTTTCTTAAATATAATTTTACTCACCTTTTCTATACTTGCTTGCATTTTTGCTTTAATGTCTTCAACAGAACTAGGTCCTTTCGGTGTTTTAGGAGTTTTTTCCTGTTTTTTGAAGGATTCTTGACCCTGGAAAAGTTTAATTCCAATTTTAAGAAAACAGCTCTTAAGACCCAGCCTACCTAAATGTTTTGTGAAGTTATTCTTACAATCCTTTCTTATAAACACTAGTAAACAGCTAGACTTGAGTTGCTATTACAAATGAATAAGTCATTCCTTAAAAAAGGAACAGGGGTCTTTGGACACCAAGTCAGTTCCACACTTACAGTTCCCATCAAAAAGGGAACCAGAAGACCACTATGCATGAAGCAAGGAAGTTAATGCAGCCTGATGCCTGGGCCCATCCGAGAGCACTTAAGTAACATCGGCCCAGGTACTGGGGTTCTTTTAATCTCCTTATGTGACTAACATGCAGCCAGGTTTGAGAAGCTCTGCACCATGCAACACATTTACCTTTCAACAAGCAAGATCCCTTATAGGAGTTAACTTTTTATCAAAATAAAAGTATTGCTGCTGGCTTTCTCCCCGACTAAAAAAAACAAGTAGCTATACACACGACATTGTCATCGACAAGCATATGTGGCTCTTTGAAGACACCATTACAGTTGTTCTCCAAAGGCCTATCAACTTCCGGACAGACAACATTCACCCACAGTAAAACCTCTAACTTTTCTAACTACAATAGTTCAATGAAGCCTGGATTTGTATGTTCCCACTTACTTTTGATCTTGGTGTTGATGGTTTTGAGTCTTTTCCATTTTGATTTGATTTTTGTGCATTTTTGGCTGGAGTATCTCGTATGGACTGTAATTGAGATTAATCATAATCAGCTCACATACCAGAGTACATAAAACTACCCCAAAGCATGTAAGAAAAGCAGCAGTCAGGCCAAGATGAAGCAATCGTTTTGATGTTGCAAAGGAGCGAACAAAGAGGAAGAAAGCCGCAAGAACAAAGAAAACAAGTCCGTTCCCACCATTAGCTAAGTCTTCAGGTCAGCCCTATTCAGGACCAACTTCAAGTATGAGGTCAGCATTCCCTCCTACAGGCAGCTTTCACTCCTCCAAGTCAGCAGCACCGAAAATTTCCCAACATTTTCTAATAGCTATTTCTGACAATCTTCTAGCATTGTATATCCTACTTACTTTCTTTACTGGAGCTTTTTCTTCTGCTTCATCATCATCAAAATCATCATCATCATCACTACAAATGAAATAAGTAACTATTATTGGTGCATTCAACAACCAAAAAAAAAAAAACCTAAAAATTGGCTGAATCTCCATTAAATCACAAATTTTTAAACTTTGGAGGGTTGTCAAGAGTCAAAGGATCTTGAAAGACAAGACATACACATTCATGTTCACTGCACTATCTACACTAATAAAAGGAAAATGTTACTTGACCGTACCCTCTATGCCCACAGCCAATCAGAGAAAGTATGCAAATTAACCCAACAAAGATGGCGGTTAAATTGCATACACTGAGGGAGGAGTGAAGACAGCATAGAAGAGGGAGGGAAAGGAGAAAGCAAGGCCAGGGTGGTGGGGCAGGCAGGCAGGCACTGCCACAGCCCATGGTCTATAATAAAAGGGTAATATGCTAATTAGACCAATGTCTTTCAGGACTAAGCTGGGACCAGAGCAAAGCCCAGAGGGAAGCCAGTGTGTGAATTTTCATGCACCAGGCCTCTAGTTATTCATAATTGCCAAGAGGTAGAAGCACCCAAGTGTCGCCCAATGGTTAAATGGATAAAGAAAATGTCACAAGTACACATGACATTGTCTTAAAGGAAATCTTGTCACCCACTGCACCTAGATGAACCTTGAGGACATTATACTAAGTGAAAGACAGTAACAAAAAAGGCAAATACTACACAATTCAACTTGGGAAACATCTAGAATAATCAATTTATTTATAGAAACTGGGGAGTAAATTGGTGGTTGCCAGAAGCTGGGGAGAGGTAGAAATGGATAGTTTTTGTTCAATGGGCAGTTTCAGTATTTCTAGATGTAAAAGAGTATTGACACCTGTAAACAATGTGAATATGGTTAACAGTACTGAACTGTTAAAAAATGGTTGGGATGGTAAATGTTTAGTTTTTACAACTAAAAACACAATAACAAAATTATTTAGGATTGAGATAGATGAAAAAAATATCCCATGTTTATAGATGTGATATTAAGGTAGCAACTCTCCAAATTAATTTAGATTTAACACAATCCCTAAAAGAATGCCAGCTGGCTTCTCCATAATCATTCCTTAAATTATTGAAATTCAAGGGACCCAAAGTAGACAAATAGAATGTTAAACAGATCCAAGCTGAAGAGTTCACAGTTCAACTACAACACAGAAATCAACAGTGTTTTACTGGTAAAGGATAGACACACATTAATAGAATGGAATCTGAGTCTAGAAATATACCCATACACAGGGTGGGGCAAAAGCAGGCTCAGTTGTTTATATGAAAAAAATACAATACAAAATTTTGTGTTCTCACACTGTAAACCTACTTTTGCCCCATTCTATATTTATGGCAATTACTTCTAGAAAGAGTGCCAAGACCATTCAAAGGAGAAAGAAGTCTAAAATGTCAGGACAACTTGATATTCACATGCATTAAGAGCGAAGTAGGGCCAAAGGCCTAAATTAAGTTAAACCTGTAAAACTTTTAGAAAACTTGGCAATGACTTCTTAGGTGTCTTACATGGTGGTTACATTAAGAAATTATCCCCATTTTAAAGCTAGGAAATCTTCCAAAGCCCAAGCAGAATCAAGATACCAATCAGGTCCTACTCTGAAGTCTCCCGGGAAAGGACTGTGGACAAAATCTGACTTTGTGCTATTAGATGTTCACTTATAAACCTACACCAAGGTAACTTGAAATCACCAGACTAACTAAATTCAAGCCTACTTAAGCACCCAGATTTCTCATTTTTGTCCTACATCCAGTTCCCATTCCTCTTGGTATATTACAGCGTTTTCAACCGCTGTTCCGCGGCACAGATGTTGCCTGGTGTACCGTAGGTGCAGACAAGACAAGAATTTTATAATTTTTCACTATTTTGTTTACTTAATATTTCATAATAAAGTAATTATAAAATACTTTCTTTGTGTTTATTTGATTCCTATTCTTCAAGAGAATTACTTTATATATAGTCAATATAGGCACAGAGTTAAATTTTTTAACATTTTCTAATGGTGGTGTGCCTCGTGATTTTTTTCATGAAACAAGTGTGCCTTTGCCCAAAAAAGGTTGAAAAACACTGGTATATTATTTTAATCCTCACTAATGGCAAATTTTCTAACAGCAAACAGCCCAGCAAACACCCATTACATTGGGTTTAAAACGAATTTTTCTCAGTATTAAACTCTCAACCTTCCCTTATTTTCTGCCTGTATTCGCATGCTCAAAGGGCCAGTTGAGGTTGCTGAAAACCTCTCTTCCAGAGTTGATAGCATTCTTATGTCTTTCTCTGGTTCTATTTAAATGTTAATATATATGGACCAACCTCGACTCAGGAATAAAGTTAGCGGGCAATTAAAAGCTAATGTATTAAAAGTTACAGATTCTGTTGCATATAGGAAAGTAGCACTTCTTTAAAATCCTCTGTGGATTTTTTTTTTTTAATTGACTTTAGAGAGGAAGGAGAAAAACATCCTTCAGTTGCCTTCCATATTCATTCTGACTGGGAATGGAACCCTCAAGGTGTATGGGACAACACTCCAACTGAGCCACCCAAGATATAAATGGCATTCCACAGTGTACACCTAATTATTTACCATAGCCTTAGAGGTTAGTAAATACATCAAATCTTGTTTCCAACCTAATTTTAAATTCCCCATGAAAATCCTATTCTTCTAGAATCTTAATTTCTCAATAAGGACCAGAGAACCTCGAGCCAAAATCTTTGGAGGGTGGGGATCCAGAAGTGACAACTTACAAAATGAATGCAGCTAGAGCTATTCTGTGTCTCTTTCCACCCAACCCATTTATCATAAACTATTCAGCATAAAATACACCTGTTAGCTACAGTCATGTGACCACTACAATATTCCTCAGGAAAAAGGTATCTAGTCAAACACATCAGGGAAATAGTTCTGAAAATTCTCAATGCACTGCAGCACTTTAAGGTTCCTAGTTCCGACAATATCCTTTAACTTGGCTCATTTAACCAAAAATGTCAACCACTGACTATTTACCCTTTATTTAAAGCTATTACTCAATTCTACAGGAAGACTTTGGAAAATAATTTCCGTAAAACTCCCCCATACAACCTTGTCAAACTTGTAAGTCCACACTTACTCTTCATCGTCGTCCTCCTCATCGTCATCATCCTCGTCGTCTTCAAGTTTTACTTTTTTCTTAAAAAAAAAAAAAAAAAAAAAAAAAAAAAGACCTCATGAGCAAGTGCCCAAACTGAAGGCCAGAATAAGGTACCTGTAATAAATTACATCTATACCTGCGGAACCTTGCTACCACCTCCAGGGGCTGACCGCTTTCCAGACATACTTAGGAGTTTCACATCCTCCTCCTCGTCTTCTTCTGACTCTGCATCTTCCTCCACAGCTAAAATAAATTTATTAGTCACTACTAAAACTCAACCTAAAAGCAGTAACTCGGGGAAAAAGGGCATTAATATACAGTAATGAGTATTTAAAAAAAATTCTACTACTTAAAAGAGACAAAAAGCAAACACATTTTTTACAAAGAGGAACTATGAGACCTAACACTCATTACTAGGTTTCAAATGCAATGTAGCAGGTGTTTCCAGATATAAATTAGTAATATAACTACTAGATTCCCATCTGAAGCTCTATAAAGACAGCAGTCCAGCAGGAACAAGGTAACTACATAAAAGATAATAAAAATAACATACCTACTAAGTGCTGTCCGCTAATATGCACAGGCCCTGAACCGCACTTCAACCGCAACACCACAGGTGGTGTTATTTCAAAGCCGCCAAGGGAAACCTAAAAGAGATTTGAAATCACTAAGTATTGTAAAGAAAATAAAGTTAAATGTTTTGGAATAAAACCTTCTCATAACTTACAAATGTTTGTGTTACAGGCTCGACAGGCAAATCCATAAACCAAATGAGCAAACCAACAACCCGTTTTCCCACCTGATACACAAGAGCAACCACCATGTTCCAGTGTTCACCATTCAACCGCGCGGCAACAACCCTCGCCCATCTCCCAGTGTAACCCGCCCTAACAGAATTAGACCTTGCCAGGAAATCCACATTACAAGTGCCCTTACCGTTGGCTGTACGGACATTTTCAAAGTTGCCAGTGTTACTTTAATGGGGCTGCCTTCATAATTCATGGCCTCTGCTTCGACAATGTGCAGCTCATCCTTTGCTCCAGCCCCTAGACTGACCTGGGAACAGAAAAAGAGCAGTGCAACTTAGCTTTCTGTACATGTTC